ACGAACCTGCATCAAGGGGCGATGGTGACGGCGACACTGTGAGAAGAAAGAGATTGGGGGTTCCGTTTCTCGACTCTCAAAGCTCCCGACTTCGCATGCGGCATGTCAAAGGCGGAACAACATCACTTGATCTGAATTCTTAAGGGTTCCTTTGGGGGAGTCGGAATTCCCCACTATAGATGGAGAGTTGCAGTGCTGAGGAGGGATTCTTCGATACTAGGGAAGAGGTCTCTTCCATCTCCGATTGGGCTTCCGATTCCGACGGCAACGGTGTTTTCGCTAATTCTCAGTTCGAGATTTGGGGTAAGAATATGGAGAGCGTAGAGGATCGGCGATGGAGGTTCCTCGGATAGATGAATCCGAGTTTCGACCGGGGTTCGGTGAAGGAATTGGGAAGGAAAGTCCCGAGAAGATCGAATTGGGAGTTGATAGAGTGATGGATGATAGCAGCGCAGTGTTGAGAACTTCTGGTTCTGATGAACCCGACCTCTGGTCTGACACTTTGTCGCGGTCTACTTCTTGCTAGTCAGCTGAAGCTCGGGAGTCGTTTGAAGATGGTGCTTCGGAGGTGGATTTCATGTACAAGATTAGGAACTTAGACGACGGAAGGGAGTTTGTCTTCGAAGAACTGGATCAAGATTGTATTCTGGTTCGATGGATGGGACAATCAAGGTGTGGGATTTGAACACCGAGGAGTGCATTCAAACACTCAAGCACACGATGGTGCTGTGACGTCTGTTATCTGCTGCTTCGAAGGAAGAAGGAGGCTGCTTGTTGTCAAGATTGGATGTCTGGAAACTGTGGCAGAGGGGAGAGCTGTCAATTCCTACACTCATGGTGCCGTGGAGATGGATTTTCAATGCTAGCAAGACTAGTTGAAGAAGAGCATGACGGTGAAAAGAAGTCTATTTCTGGGATTGGGTACCCTGCAGGATCTGACAAGCTATATTCAGCAACCAGTGGTGGAGTGGTACGTGCTTGGGATTGCCATACTGGTTTGCTTGCCGGGACTGCGAATGTTAGTGACTACAAGATCGGATGTTTGATCAGCGATGGAGATTGGGTGTTTGTTGGTTACCCCAATGGTGTCAAAGCATGGAACTTTAAATTAGGGGTTTATCATGACCTCACAAGTTCAAATGGTCAAGTCAATGCCTTGGAGTTTGGGTTGGATGCCTTGTATGCTGGAGCTGAAGATGGTGCAATTTTTGTTTGGAAAGGATTTGCTGATCAGCAGGCCGATCCCCAATTTCAGCAGCCTGCTACTTCCCTAAAAGGCCATGGAAGTGCAGTTACTTGCCTCAGAGCTAGCATAAATGGTGATTTGTATAGAAGATTGTATTCTGGTTCGATGGATGGGACAATCAAGGTGTGGGATTTGAACACCGAGGAGTGCATTCAAACACGATGGTGTTGTGACGTCTGTTATCTGCTGGAATACGGCCCTGGTGTCTTGCTCACTGGATAAGAAGGTCAAGTTCTGGGGTTGCGCTGAAGATGACAGTGATGATATAAGCCTTTTGTACACACATGAAGAGGAAAGTGTTGCAGTTGCTCTTGGTGGGATGAATGATTCCGAAGGAAAACCAGTCTTGTTCTGTTCGTGGAGCAACTGTAGTGTTGGGTTATACGAGTTGCCAACACTCGAAGAGCGTGGAAGGATTTACTCACAGAAGGAAGTAAGAGCAATTCGAAGTGGGCCTGACGGTTTGTTTTTCACAGGGGACGCAAATGGTGTCGTCAGCGTCTGGAAGTGGGCCAAAGCTGATGCTGCTTGATTCTTTGCTTCCATTGTCCTCAATTGTACACAGAGAGTTATATCTGAAGTTAGAATTTTGACATGTAAAGTCACGACATGGGATTCCATTTCATTGTTGGAACCCAGAGTAGGCTACCGCGCTGAATTTTTTCAATGTATCAGTGTGGCAGTGCCATAGAAGAAGCAACAATCAGTTGCTTCTGATTCTTTTGTATCTATGTACCGCAAACAAAGTAAATACAAAGTAAATACAAATTAGTACATAAGCAGGAAAAGGTCCTTTTCTTAATTATCACAAACATACTTGTATATGTCGAAGCAATAACATTGAGAAATAAATAAAATTCAGAAACCTCAATTAGAACGTACATCATCATCATCATCACGAGCTGAATTCTTCTGTTCCCAAATAGTATCATCCATGAAACACCATTATTTTCCTGCTGCTGCCCTACAGGAACGGACAGCTACAGAAGATCCAGATAGATCATTAGCTTTTGCCCTAGAAGATGTACCTACACTTTCTAGAGTTGTAACTTTACACTAAACTTAAAGTTGTACCTACACTTTCCTAAAAATCTTCTATGGTACAATTCACAAGTTATACCTATACACTTTCTAACAAATCCTTCTATGGTACAACCCAAACTTGTACCTATATCATGGTACAACTTTAAGTTGTACCTACACTTTCTAATAAATCCCTTTATGGTACAACTCAAAATTGTACCTATACTAATGGTACAACTTTTAGTTGTACCTACACTTTCTCCAAATCCTTCTATGGTACAACCCAAACTTGTACCTATACCATGGTACAACTTCATGGTACAACTTTAAGTTGTACCTACACTTTCTAACAAATCCCTTTGTGGTACAACTAAAAATTGTACCTATACTAATGGTACAACCTTAAGTTGTACCTACACTTTCTCAAAATTATTTTATGGTACAACCCAAACTTGTACCTATACTATGGTACAACTTTAAGTTGTACCTACACTTTCTAACAAATCCTTTTATGGTACAACTCAAAATTGTACCTATACTAATGGTACAACTTTAAATTGTACCTACACTTTCTAATAAATCTCTTTATGATACAACTCAAAATTGTACCTATACTAATGGTACAACCTAAGGTTGTACCTACACTTTCTCAAAATCCTTCTATGGTACAACCCAAACTTGTACCTATACCATGGTACAACTTTAAGTTGTACCTACACTTTCTAAAAATCCTTCTATGATACAACCTAAACTTGTACCTATACCATGGTACAACTTTAAGTTGTACCTACACTTTCTAAAAATCCTTCTATGATACAACCTAAACTTGTACCTATACCATGGTACAACTTTAAGTTGTACCTACACTTTCTAAAAATCCTTCTATGATACAACCTAAACTTGTACCTATACCATGGTACAACTTTAAGTTGTACCTACACTTTCTAACAAATCCCTTTATGGTACAACTAAAAATTGTACCTATACTAATGGTACAACCTTAAGTTGTACCTACACTTTCTCAAAATTCTTTTATGGTACAACCCAAACTTGTACCTATACCATGGTACAACTTTAAGTTGTACCTACACTTTCTAACAAATCCCTTTATGGTACAACTCAAAATTGTACCTATAGTAATGGTACAACTTTAAGTTGTACCTACACTTTGTGAAACAAATTCTTCAATGGTACAACTGAAACTTGTACCTATACGATATGGTACAACTCTAATTTGTACCTACACTTGTATACATTGATTCATTATTTACAAGATTGCCATTAATGATGTGGGACCAGTCATTTAGTGGGTTTACCTCCTCAACAGGTCACCTTTTTTTTTTGTTTTTTATAGCATTGGTGCTATAGAGCACACTAAAAGGGCTCATGACAGATGAGCCAGCTTTTTCCAAGAGTGCCACACCTACTGCAACGAACGAAGCTGCAGATGAGCTCACTTCACAACCTGAATTCCTCCGAGTCATTATCCAAAGAAGTTTCCTGGTGGCGGGCTTGGTAGGTCGTCAGAAAGCAAACAAACAGTTCTTTGTTATAATGGTTCATCTAGGCAAACAACCAGATTTCTGTTTCATTTGTCTCTTTGCAGGGGATTGAGCGAAAATTCATTCAGAGGCACATCAGGAATTGGAGTGGAAAAATGCTGGAGCTTCAGGTTGGAGAAGACAAATGGCCTGTGAAAATTTTGCTGAAACCCACGGGTCAGCCATGTCTATCCCAAGGCTGGCGGGCATTTGCACGCGATAATTCTCTGAAACCAGAGGACACTCTCATATTTGTGCCTACTACTACCGCCGCAGATGTGCTCAAAGTGTCAATAACCAGTTGGTCCCAATAACTCGAGTTGTTGGGAGAAGGTTCTGCTGGATCTTATACTACTCTCTAACACGCCCCCTCAAACGAAAGCCAACCCATGGGCTTGAAGTTTGCACAGACCCACCATACCTTGTGCTTTAATCAACTGTTAATATTGGGAGTCGTGGAGATTCGAACACATGACCATTTGGCCAAACCAGCTCTGATACCATGTCAAGAACCAATTGCTCCCAATAACTCGAGTTATTGGGACCAACTGGTTCTTGACACAGAGTTCACATTTTGCGCTGTTCTTAGATGATTGTTGCTCCTTGTTGACTTAGCTGAGAAGTTGGAGCTTCGGTTTATGTAGCTTTGGAGAATGATTTTCATGGTATGTTGTTAATGTTAAAGAACTCTGTTTAGTTTCTGATCATGTTCCTAATCCTCTGCTCAATGCTGTTCATCAGCTCAACTGTCTGTTGCTGTAAACTTATGTTAATGAATATTTCTGATATGTCAGCATTATAAGCAGTTGGGGAGTGGATTCTAACAAAAGCTCCAAGTTTGCTAGAACCATCTTGTCTGTCATTGAATTTACTGAAATGTGTCTCTTCTTCGGTAAGAATCTGTTGCTGATAGCCATTACTAAATGTTGAGGTAGAACCTCTACTTTGTGTGCTTTGCAAACTTCCACAAACAGAAAGCATAAAAAAGTACTCCGAATTATCAGCAGGGGATCTCATTAGCATTCTCGAATGATGGCGACTTTAAGCAGGACGTTAGTCCGCTTTCTAATGCACTTGCAGATGCAAATGTCTCCTTGTTTCTGCAAGTTGCCCTCTGCAAATCCATCCGAGCGTCATAGAAGTATACATACTTCATACTGGCCAAGTTTTATCAGCGACCTGAAGCTTCACTGACTGACTTCTCGTCTTTCCCAATGTGCCTAACTGAAAAAGCCTAAGGGTTACTGCAAATTCAAAAAGGTGATGAGCAGTTCATGTTATTACTGTATTCAATAGTTCAGAAAACAAAAACACAAACCTAAAGCAGCCATTCGCATCTCAGTAGCGGTTCTATCAAATATACTACTTGGAAACCGGAGTAAAACAATCTCAGAAGCTCTTACTTTTAACTTAGTCGTGATTTGAATGTAATACCAACAAGTCAACAAACGTCAAAAGGTCAACAACTAATAATACCCTCCCTCCTCTGTTTCGGCAGAAAATGAAAGGGGCCGCTTCTCTCTGTGGCCTGTGGTGGGACCCAAATTCCTACATTCAGAAACACTCCGAACCTGACGCGCCTGTGCTTCCTTTTAGCCATTCTCAGCAAACAATAGCAAGCTCCAAACTTCCCACAGCTCTTTCAGCCAGTCTCAGTCTGCCTTGGACTCATAGCAGCAAAGGCAACCCATTTTCCTTCTTCACTCCTCTTCCATTCTTCTCATCTCTCCCTTCTTCAAACCCACAAAAGAAAACAACTGTTTCTCCTTCCAATGACGACCCATTTCCTGAAGCAGCTCACTGAAGAGACCATCAGTCACAAGAGAATGGTAAGCCCTTCAAAAAGTTCTGTCCTTTTTTTTGTTTCATGTTCAACGATTAGGGTTTTGTAAAGCTTGTTCATTTACTTTGTCAAAATTTGTGTCTCTCTGTTTATGTTTCAGCTGATTCCTGGGGAGTTTGTGAAGAAATTTGGGAGAGAAAATTTGACAAACCCAGTAGTCCTGGAGCCAACAGTTGGAGATCCAAGGGAGAGGGAGATGGAGCTATACGAAGATGGTGGTGGGTTTTGGTTGAGAAATGGTTGGCAGGAGTTGGTAGATCACTACAAACTCAGCCATGGATGTTATCTACTCTTTGAATACAAGAGCTATTCAAGGTTTAAGCTTTTGATGCTTGGGACAAATGGGCTAGACTTGGAGCTTCCAGCTTCCAGTTTTGTCAATGTTGGATCGAACGGGAACCAGGAGTTCCCAGAAGCTGCGGAGGAAGAGAGTGTAGATGCTCATTCTGTGGAGATCTTAGGTAGCTTGTCCATTTCAACTTTGTTTTCTTACTAGTTCATGACCAAAACCCCTTGCTGTTGTTTTGAACCTCTTCGTGTTTAGGGTTTGTTTCATGGCATGATTTTCTGTTGCAGAGGTGGGTGCAGGCTCATCAGTGGTTAAGGAGATGAACACCAATAATGAAGGTGGTGGAAAGCAGCCAGCCCAGCCGCGGTCTGCAGAGAATGCAATGCAGAAAGGGGTCATCAATGCTAGTAAGTGTTGTTCGTTCACATAAAAAGGGAAGAAAGAAACATAATTTGATCATATTTTGCATAAATCTCTGTAGGGAAAAGGAGAATAGCTGATGATGGAGAGAGCAGGCTGGTGAAACAGGATGATCCAAGGAGAAATAGAGCTAATAGAAGCCCCTTTGGAAGGGGTAAGGATGAGAATTCTCGTATTCCTTCGATTGCTGAGCAGGAAGTTACATAATGTTTGCTTTCCTGACTCTAAGAAAACTGAAATGTGCTTTCTTTTTATGGAAGAGTTAAAATGTTTGTTGATCAACGGATATATTTGTGACAGACGAACCAGCTTTTTCTAGGAGTCCTTCCAGCTCAAAGCCTGGCAGACCCATAAATACTGAAGCTATAGATGAAGATATAGCAAAATTCACTGGTGCTTGTCATAACAGAAGCCCTTTATGTTTTGTATCTCATTGTTCTACGGGTTTACATGGTTTGATTTCGGTTGAGATTTGCAGGATTATCTTTGATGAAGGACATGAACTACAACAACAATGGAGATGGTGATGGAAGACAGCCGTGGCTTGCTGAGAATGCCAACCACGAAGAGTACATGAGAACCGGTGACAGTGAGTATTGGTTCGATACCTAAACAGAGAAGAAAGAGCAACATTTTGATCATACTTTCGTCAATATCTGCAGGGAAAAGGAGAAGAACAGCTGAGGGCGGACAGCATAAGAAAGTGAACAAGGAACCTCTAAGGAGAAGTAGAGGTAACGGGAGCTCAGTTCCATTCATGGTTGAACATGAAGGTACAAATTTTTTTTTCCTTCCAAGCTTTGGGGAAGCGAAAAGTGCTTTCTTCTAAGTTTCTTATAGAGTAATGAATGAAATTTGAGTTTTCTATTCTTGATAGTCGAACCTCCTTCTATGGAACCTTCAAGCTCACGGCACGGTAGACCTACAACTGAAGCTGCAAATGGGTTTGCTTCCCAAACTGATTTTCTCCAAGTTATTCACTCAAAAAGTTCCTTGGCTAAGAAAGGCTTGGTACGTCGTCTCCAACAAGCGGTGTTTTTATTGTAGTGGTTCCATCTAGTGCATACAACTGAAAAGTTTCTCTTTGCAGAGGATGAAGGGAGGTTTTGTTGAAAGGCATATCACCGATTGGAAAGATAAAATAGTGGAGCTTCAGGTTGAACAAGAAACATGGCCAGTGGGAATTGTATCAGACCATGGTGTCCCTACTCTTTCTAGAGGCTGGTTGACATTTGCGCGTCAGAACTCTTTGAATGTAGGGGACACTCTCACAATCGTTCCCACAACCACTGAAGGTGTTCTCACAGTTCATATTCTACGTGGTTATTACAGGAAACCTACTTGTTAGCTAGGAAGTTGGGTTGTTTGTTTAGGTGATTTTCGAGAATGATTATCACGGTAGGTTGTCAAAGGAGTCTGTTCAGTATCTGATAATGTTGCTAATCTGCTGTTGAATGTTATCAGCTTATGTTGATGTTTCTATTTACTAATGTTATGGAATGTTTCTGATATGTAGAATTAAACAATTCGGAGGTGGAATCTAACAAAAGCTCTAGTTTTCTATACCCTTCTTGTCGTCATTGATGTTCTTCTAAAATGTGTTCTTCAGAAAGAATTTGTTATGATTATATCCATTACTAAATGCTGAGATGGAACATTTACTTCGTGTGTATGACTCTAAAGTTAAATTTATAGGGATGAGAAGAAACTAAACCAGCAATCCATTAGCAAGCAAAAGGCTGAAGCTTTTGAGCAAGGCCACATTAGGCCAACCCAAGAATATGGGAAAGTCAAGTAGAAGCTAAAACTGTCCTTTTTCATCAGCAGGGTTTGGTTTATTGAAGGCTTTCAGCCTTCTTGTTCCTCGTAGTTGTTGAAGGAAATGGACAAACGTCAAATATAAACTTCCGAATAACACTTCTTTTCAATCAGTATTCAGGGAACCTTACAATAATTCTAACCATAATACAGAGATGACCTTGAAAAGGAAACAGAACCAAGAGCCGATACCGACATTATACAACATTATCAGAAACATTCAGGTAGAAAAGAAAGTTGTCCAGAGCTATGTCTGAATGTCTCAAGCAGATTTCTCGGCTTCTTCGGCCGCCTCTTCCTCTCGCAACTTGATCAAAGACGGAGGTGGTCGGACAACAATGCTTTTCTTCCATTGCCGGTCGAGCTTTCTTGATAACCTCTTGTTGATGCCCTCTTCAACCTCTCTCTCGCGTTTAACAGTTAGCATGCGTGCAATCTGCATTCATTGATTTAAAAAGAGAGGAACTCAGTCTTTCACCCAGGATATTATGTAATCAACGTAATACGACAACAAAATGAAAGAAAGAAATAAATGATGGGAGCAAGTAATGATAGCTATATGATTGCGTCCCACATATATTGTCCAAATTGAACCATCTCTAGTAAACTCAAACATGGTTCAGTTGGAAAATACTCCGAGCATGCCACTGCTTGGTGAAGATCTTATGGAACACAATGTAATTCATGATTCAACTCTATCATATCATTATCAAGAGGACCAAAGCTACATAACGCATTCAACTTGCAAATGCATTGGCCTATGGTAAAAACATAAAAGAAGTATTGGCCAGGAAGCATGGTATCTGCTTCTTTATGCCAGACAGCCTTGATTACCGGATGGCTATTTCTTCCCCTGGTAGCAAAGAAAGTTAATGTAAACTCTTCTTTGCAAAGACTAGACAAAAACAGATAATGTGGGAGCTAAAGGAAGTTTCATCGTTGAGTGGCATGCCAGCCTATTTCCTGACAATAAAAGCCAATGACACCCAAATCCAACCACTGGAAATTAATAACAAAATCTAGAATCCAACCATGTCTAACTCATGGATTCCAAATTTCTTTTACCAAGTCAGATAGGTATCCTCCACTAGCTAGATCTCAAGGGGTATCATAACATGTTCAGCTGTTGGTTTCATATCAGGCTCTATGCAAAACCCTGGGAGGTCTGAATACTTTACAACTTCCTTTTGGGTGAAAAGACTGGAGCTATTTCCGTGACAATACATGAAATGCTGGCGAATGCCATGCTACGTACTAAGCTAATGACGTTCGCAATCTTAGACTGCTGAAACTGATTATAATTGCAACTGGTACAAACGTCTCATCAAATTCAACCCTCTTTACATGGAACTGAATACTTGACTACAAACTCATCATATGTTCTCCTTCTAAAGCGCAATCGAATTCTCTGGTGCTCTTCCCATTTTCAGTTCAAGCTCATCCATAATTTTACCTCCTACATCCAGCGCATATGAATAGCTTACTCACACATCTTAGTTCATCAATCCTCAAACTCTCGCATCAAAACATCAACTAACCAGAACCGCTTTTGCCAAACCAATGTTAACCCGCTAAAATTAAGCTACCAAGTTCTAACTCCTAACCAAATGCAGCAAAATTCATCAATTCAAACCTGTCCACCATCAAAGAGAAGCTATCAGCAAACACCACTTCCAAACCACCCCACCATCCTTTCCCAAACAGACAGTCCCATTATCCTCTATCTAAAACATTCTCAAAACCAAATACATTTCCCATTCGACAATTCCTTTAGAACGAAGGAGGGGAAAAGGGTACCTTCTTGCGCATGCGGCGGAACTCGCTGGACTTGAACTCATTCCTGACAGACTTCTGCAGGCGAAGCATGAAGAGCTCGCCTTTAAGGTCAACAACCTGCTCGTTGATCTCGTCGGTGGTCAACCCTCTGATTTCCTTCAATTCCTCGTCCTTCTTCGCCATCATCACCACCGACGACGCCGGAGCTCCGGCAGACCTGTACGCCGTCCCGGGGCGACCTCGAAGTGTCGGGACAAGGCATGTTTGGTTGAGTTGGATGCCGGCGAACCCGGATTTAGGAAGTGGAAGGGAAGATTTGGGGATTGGTGTAGCAATTGAGAGGCTCAACATGGTTCTGCGTTTTTGGGTTCTCTGGTTAAAGAGTGTGGGTGATGCTCTGAGGCTGCCCTGCCGCCCGACCTCTGTCTCTCTCTGGAGAAGAATAGATATGAGATATGGTTCCTTTCCCTATCCTATATACTTCAGAAAGAAAAGGTAAATTACCATAATGGTCACTGATCTTTGTGGTCATCGACAAACCGATAGCTGAACTTTTCATTTCCACCGATTTAGCTTGTGAAATTTGGAATAACTTAAGAACACAGTGGATTCGATCATCATCACCACTGAATTCTTCTCCACATTGTTCATATCAGTATGTAAAAACACACCCAATTTATTAATAATGAAAAATTCATTTAAACCTTCTAATTAGATATAGTGAAAGGTGAAAAAGGGATAAGTATGTTTTGGGTTAATGTCGATTTGGAATCTGTGTCAAGTAATCGATTTGATTTAGGCTGGGGATCGAGGTAAGATGTTTTGAAGTAAACTAACTAGAATATATGTGTACTCTACTTTTCACATTTTGAAAAATTTAAACTAATACAAATTTAACGACCAAAATGGATAGATAACTTTTAAACTCGCATCGGTAGTAGCTTTGTTTTGATTCTCCGTTTTACCTCCAACAAAAACTATGACTTAGACTCGGAGAGTATATAATACGTTTGTGGATGATACAACGACGATAGGTCGTGAGGAACCGAATGAAGCAGCATAATTGTGTAACACCCTCAAGTTATGGTAGGAAAAGCCTTGGGGATGACTACATAACAACCCTGCAGAGTTTTACAGTGGTTTTGTGAACTTGATATACTTCTTTCTTAAGGTCACAATCTTGCACGCTAGTCTACAGGGCAGAGCTTTCTCAAGGTTATGGAGGTTCTCTGTTTCTGATTCAACTCCTTCCCTTCCCAGAACTGAAAACCTGGTCTCCGATTGATCTCATGCTTCCAACTGTAGCGTGCATCTCCAGACAACAGAACCAGAGATCCTGGAGGCAAGTAGACAGGAACCTTTCCAACCTTCCCCCTCTCTTCATCCTCCTCCGCGTCCTCCCTACCCTCTTCGTGTTCTACATTGCTGAAATGCATCACACACGACGATTCCAGAGAGACGATAGCAATTCCATCTTCAAAACGCATCAGATCAACATGTGCACAGATTCCCTGCAACATTGCCCGAAACATTCCATTCAAGACCAATCCATACAAAGAAATGCGCACGCTATACTAACCGCAGCAAACAGAGAGATTCATCCTACCTAAATGAAGCTACAATTGCAAGACAAAGAACCACAAAAGAAGAGAAACAGGCTGACATAATCGGATAATCCCTTGACGATATCACTACACATTTTCGCGCTGATGCATAATTGCACATATGGAAGAGATTCATAGTTCATTGATGAAAATGCAGAAGCAAACCTAGTGAGCTTACCTCACCTGGCTGGTACACATTTGCAATTAACTGATCAAACAGTGGCTGTCTCCTCAGAATGTCTGGCGGCAGCAGCCTACCTCCGGCAGCCTCTTCAGCCAGAACCACCGCGTCGCGTACAGAATTACAAAGCTCAGTTGCCCACCATGGAAGATTCCCAAACCTCATAGCCTTTTTGGAGTTGGGACTTATCAGGAACTGCCTTCAGGATAAAGAATTAGGTATAACAAAACCGATTCTCACCTGATTGTTAGAACCTTCACCGAGCCATCCTTCTGCAGTCAAGATCGGAAGCAATAGATAGCTAAAAGCACCAATCATACAGGGAGAAATAAGAACACAGTAGATGCAAGGAAAAAGTTGGGAACTTTCGATTCAGAAGACTGCACGTACCGCGGCGGAGGGCGGAAAGGAGGCGCGACTGTTGCTGGGGAGACAGGAAGTCTCTGCACAGCCATAGCCCTCTGATTTCGACGACTGGCTCCCAGATTGGAACCAGCCGCTTCGATCTACCGTCTTTTCCACCTCTCGCTTCGTCCTCTGGTATTGCTTCTTCCTCTTCTTCACTTCCCGATGAATCGCCAAACGCTTCTCTCAGAACTGCCTTCTGCCATTCATCCATCGCCACACTCGGTGCCCCCGTTCAGTGTTAGGTCTAGGTTCAGCACTCGATAATTGGTTAATTGAAACTGATTTTGATCGCCTATTCAATACCCAAGGATGGAATGGAAAGGAATTTTGAAATCGACGTAGATGGCTTGATCTTTCTCATTCTCGTTCAGGCGTTCTCCCTTTTCTCTCAGTTTTATCAACCCGGTTTATAGGTTTAGTAAGTGGAATGGAACTTTGACCGGTGGTAGAGTAAAATATCTCGGGTGCCACTTAAGTTTGAGAATTAGAGTTGTCATACCACTTAAGTTTGAATAGGGCGTCGGGTACCACTGAACTCTATTATATGTGCACCTGATACCACTTAAGTTTACTCCTAAGTGCATTCTGTTAAAGTTGACAGAATATTCTTGGAATATTCCGTTTTCTAAATTTCATAATTGGTCCTTCTACTTTTTTTATTGTAAAAAAATTATTTGGACTTATGAAAAACATCATTTTTTATTGTTTAGTTAGAATTCTCTTTTGAATATTGGATACCAAACAAATTTTTGAATAGAAAATTTAGAATCAATTATCATTATAATTATTTTTAATTACCATTATGTGTTCTAATAATTTAATTCTTCCATGCATGTTGTAACTAAACAATGTTACAGCTTTTATAGTCATATTTCTTTTCTATATTTTTTTACCGAATGTCGTAGCTTTTATATTTTATTTATTACTTGGTTACTTTCCATTTCTTTTCGTTCTAAATTTTTTTCAATTACTGGAATATGTTTAATTCTTTCTTATTGTGTTCCAGTTATCCTTCTTTGATTTTGATGTATTGATAATCGATTAGGTTTTATTTTAATTATTTCTAATGGTGCTTCTAATTGAATTAGGGCGTATAAATAGATATTCTAATATTAATTTTAAATATTTATTATTATATTCTAGTATATTTATTATTCTTTTTTATATTTATTTACTATTTTTACTAGTTTATCTATTTTATTAAAAAAAAAATTGATTAATCATTCTAGTAATAATATGTTTAGAAGGTTTTCTAATTATTATATTAGATAAAACTTGTTGAAATATAGTTATGGATGTTTTTAAAAGTTTTGGGTATCAAACAGTAATTGAAATTTTGGGTTGGATGGAAAAGTAGATGGATGCACATTTTGGCGACTTTAATGGTACCCGACGCCCTATTCAAACTTAAGTGGTATGTCTACCCCAATTCTCAAACTTAAGTGGTAGCCGAGGTATTTTACCCACCGGTGGTACAACTGATATGTGTCCGTTCATGTTCGTTTAACAAAATATGTACAAATGTGGAAAACTATTAACTTCAAATGAATTTAATCATATTTAAAACGTGTTAATGTCATGTTTGGTCACTGAGTTTACTAAAATGTGTCATGTTTAGTCACTGGAAAAAATCAATAATGGTCACTAAGTTTAGTAAAATATGTCATGTTTGGTCACTCTCTGTCGGTTTTCGTCCAACTCCATTAACACCGTCAGTTTTTTGCTGACGTGGTTAACAGATTCGCCTAGTCAGTAAATTTTAATCCAAAAAAATTTAAACCCGACCTGCTACATCATAAACACCCAACCCAACCCTTAACCCGATCCATGACCCCTGGTAGTGGCAGGGGCAGAGGGCTAGAGGGTGGGTCCTGGCTCTGGAGAAAAAAAATGACATATAAATATAATAGTTAATTAGATATGAAAAATAATACGTACATTTAAATGAGAATAGTTGGCTTTTCAAATATATGATGTTTGATTTGTAAGTTGTATAAATTTAATAGTTATTTGGATATGATTAATATATCAAAAAATAATTATTCAATATATATAGAGTGATATTTTTAATATTTTCGACATATGTTTAATTAATCAAGTTTTTGTACATACAAAATTACATCATGAATGATTTACAAAGCTAACAAAATTATTTAACGTATGCATTTTTTTCTAAATAGTCATACCCTCGACAAAATTGTGGCTATGCCCCCAAGAAATCCTCTCGTCTGCCACCTGCCACCAAGAAGACGTGGTACCCATTCGACCCAACCCGGTCAACGCGGGTAAAATCCGTGTTGACGGATTTTGGGCCGGGTTTGGGTTTAAACTCGTTCACTATTTATCGGGTTGGGTTTGGGTGTAGGTAAACCCGACCCATGGGTACCCGCCCACACCCATATAATTAATTTTCTCGGTATATTTAATATTCTAAATAACTAATCTTATTTATGTTTGTGGAGACATGTCTAATTTTTTCTTTCTAATTGTGTAGAATGAAGTTGATGTTATCGAGTGGAGAGTGAAGAAACTTAATTGAAAGGAAGAAGTTTTCAATTAATCATGTTATTTATGGATAATTTGTGTTTTGCTTCAATTTCTTGAGTTTTCTAGTTGGTATTGAACAATTTGTATAGTTAATTTGTGATTTGCTTGAATTTTCTAGAATTGTGTTTTATATATGAATAATTTGTATTTAGAGATTGATATTTGGCTTTAATTTTGATAGAAACTTTTTACTGTAATTTTTTACGACAAAAACTCGTGGGTACCCATGAACCCGCGGATACCCAGCGGGTTGGGTTGGGTTTGAGTTTTTAAAACCCAGTGAGTTTTACCCCGGATTTTTTTCACGGATAAACCCATGGATTTGGGTTTGGCAAAACCCGACCCAACCCATTGCCATCCCTAAAGACGACCAACCCCTCTCCTTAGCCCAAAAAAAAAAAAAAACCAAAATCCTATTTGCACCTTCCAGATCTAGTTCCCCATCGTCACTTCACATCCCAAAATCGTTTCCCATCCTTTCGTCGCTGGGATTCTTTTCCCATCTACTCCAATCGAGCTCCTTGAGCCAGAGGACCAACGTTTCTCTTTCATCAATAACTTGTGGGAAAAGCTCCTGGAGCCAGACTCATGGGAAAAGCTCCGGCGACGGGCTGTGATGTTGAGGAGAATCTGTAGTTTCAGGAGAATGGTAAACTGACAATTTTATTCAGTGCATCTGATCAACAATAAGTACTTAGTTTCAGCCTACAGATTCGGCTTCCACTTACAACCCACGACTCCTCAATCCTACAAAGTAGTCAACATGACTAACTAACTTGACAACTAAGCCACTGACCTGCTGTTACCCTTAGTCCACGCAGGGACTTTATTTGACTCAATAGCAAACTCAAAGGACTCAATTGAACTAAACCAATACGACACAGTCTTGATATAAAACTTAAACATTCTAACACTGCTGCTGATCTTCCCACCTGCTGCTGCCGCCTCTGCCAACTCCTTCTATGATGATCAAGGCTTGATTTTACAACAAATCCTCTCTTGAACTGAAGCCGATCACCAAAACTTCAGTTCACATCTTCAAGCCTTCATTTTCCAGTATTGAATTCTGCCATGTCTGTCACTCCAAGCTCACTTCTCAGTAGCTGATAGGTTTCCAGTTTTAAAGCCTTCGTCATTATATCAGCAACCTGTTCATGAGACCTGCAGTGCTTCAATTCAACAAAACCTTCATTTGCCAACTCTCTTAGGTAGTGAAACCTGACGTCAATGTGCTTGCTCCTTCCATGAAGAACAGGGTTCTTTGATAATTTGATTGCAGAACTGCTGTCACACCATATTGTAGTTGCTGATTCCATGCTTTCTTCCCATCCAATTTGTTCCAGAATTTTCCTCAGCCAGACACATTGTGAGGCACAGTATGATGCAGCTACATACTCAGCTTCCGTGGTTGATAAGGTCACCACTGATTGCTTCTTTGAAGCCCAGGAAACTGCTCCTCCAGCTAGGAAGAACACATAACCACTGGTGCTCTTTCTGTCATCACTATCTCCAGCATAATCACTGTCGATGAATCCAGTTAATCCACTTTTATCTTGCTCTTTCTTGTACCAAATCCCATGCTGTATAGTAGCCTTTAGATACCTTAGGATTCTCTTTGCTGCTAACATATGTTGTCTAGTAGGTGCTTCCATATATCTGCTCAAAAGACATACAGAAAACATCACATCGGGTCTTGTAGCTGTGACATACAGGAGACTCCCAATGAGTTGCTTATACTCAGTTGGGTTAACCAGAATTCCATCACCAGCCTTGGTTATCTTTGCTCCAGACACAATTGGATTGTTCACATAATTGCATTCACTAAGCCTCAACCTTTCCAAAATCTCTTTTATGTACTTCTGTTGACAAATGAAAATGCCACAGTCACTTTGAATAATCTCAACCCCAAGGAAATACCTCATCCTCCCTAGATCAGTCATCTCGAACTCCTCCTTCATTGACTTCCTGAACTCATCAATCATTGTAGAACTGCTGCCAGTGACCATGAGATCATCAACATAAACACTCACTAATAATATGTCAGATCCAACTCTTCTGACAAACAAAGTGTGCTCATGTGGACTTCTCACAAAACCAGCCTTCAAAAAATATGCCTCAATCTTGCTGTACCAGGCTCGAGGGGCTTGCTTCAGTCCATAAAGAGCTTTCTGAAGCCTATATACCTTCTTTTCCTCCCCAGCAACCACAAATCCTTGTGGTTGCTCAACATAAACCTCCTCAGAAAGCTGTCCATAGAGAAATGCACTCTTGACATCAAGTTGAAAAACAGGAAAGCCATGATGAGCTGCAAAAGCCAGAAGTGTCCTGATAGTATCCCACTGACTCGCTATGACACAACACCTAACAATGGCCAAGTGTAACCAATGAAAGGGACTGCAGTATAGTGGCACAAGTAATAAATATCGAATCCACGGGTCTCTAGAGTTACTATTACTCAGCTTTAGTTCATTATCTAGCAAACTAGATTAAGGATTGATTAACTAAACTACTCTACTAACTAAACTAAGTAAAACTACTAATTACAGTTTGGGAACTCACTTAGGTATGATTCCCCTAGCTCCTCAATTAGGTCCAAGTTGCAATTACCTTTGGTTGATCTACTGTTGATTAAACTGCGGAAGATTCTAAATTAGCTTGGAATCTCTTAAGCTGACCAAGCCCTCTCAGTCCAACTATCCGGCAGACGACTAGTCTTCACCAGGATAGAAAGCTGAGGCTATGAACACAGAACTCCACTACTGGAATGAATTCCAGTACAAAGCAGTGCATTGATTGACTCTCGCACAACCAATTCACCACTATCAATCAAGGAAGCTCTCTTAACCTAATC